TCTCGTCTTCCCCCACCTAACCCTTTCCCTTAAGGATCGCTGACAAAGCATTCTACCAGCAGCCAGATGCTGATATCATCGGCTACGTGTACGTGTGTCTCCTCTGCTCCTCTGTCTGGGGGAGCTGGAAAGGGCGAGGCCCCTGTGTATGGCTGGCACCGTTTCTTGAGTCTCCTGCTTGTGGGGTATAAGAGTGCGGCTGGGCGAGGTGGCGGGGTGGGGCAATGACCAGAGCAAGTGAATCTCCAATCAGTGCAGCACCTCCACCACTCCAGCAAATGCTTATTGAGGCCTATTCTGCATGGAGGCAGCTTTGCTAAATCCAGGCAGAGAAGAGAAAGAATGCTCTAGACATGCCTGGGTAGGAAGGATGAATGGCAAAGCAGCCCAACTCCTTCCCAAAGAGATGCCTCTTGGGGGTGTGAGGTAGGGTGAAGAGGTCTTCTGTTGAACAAAGCAAACATTGAGTGCCAGTTGCTGGAGGCACAAAGAAGAGAACTAGGAGCACATCTCTCCCCTTCCGCTGCCCCAAATGCACTACTCCTTCTTAGAGCTTCTACCTATTTGGTCATGCCCCCTGCCCTGACCACCACAGGGCCCTCACATGTGTTTGGGGTCTAGTTGGTACTGTGACTAACCTAGAATAGAGATGGTAGAGGTTCCCTCTCATGTCACCTCCATTGGTTGACAGCGACACCTAGGGTTGTGTTGGGGATTGTGAAGCTGAAGGAAAAAATACAGTGAAGAGTGAGGTCGGCCGGCCGAGTATTGGCGGTTCTGGCCACACTCTTGGCAGGCCTCTGATGCCCTCTGTCTGACTAAAACGTCTGTTACAGAGCCCAGGACACCCCAGAGTAACAGCCTTTCACTCCTACCTTCCATCCACTCTCCCAGCTGTTCAGTCCTTATAGGTAACTACCCAGTGCCAGTCTCTGGTCAGACAGGAATAAGACACACAAGGTCCACACCCCCAAGTTGCTCACAGTCAGGAGTATGTGATAATAAGAGCTGTGTGGAAGGACACACAAAGGTCTGGAAGCCACCTTCTGCTGTGGGAGCCAGGGCAGGTTTCAGGGATGTGGGACCTTCAGCTGAACCATAAAGTAGGAGGAGGAATGAGTAGGTGGGAAGGGTGACCAGAGGAGAAGGGCATCCTAGCTGGCAGAAGCTGCTGGGGCAAAAGTGATGAGATAGGACATAGCAGCCTGTGGCTACAGGCTGTGGAGGTGGGGATGAGCAGAGAAGTTCAGCTTGGGGCCAGCTGCAAAAATGCTTGTTGTGCCAGGCCAAGAAGCTTGAACTTGATCCTGAAGACAGCAGGGTGCCACAGGAGATTTCAAGCAGGAGAGTGGGGATGGCAGAGGGACATCAGTGCTGGGGGTGGTTAGTGCTCCTGTTGCACCCCAGAAAATGGCTTAAGGAGCATGCAAGGGAGTCCTAAAGAGGAAGTGCAGACCAGTACTTTCCAGACTTTCATGTGCCTGTGAAATACCAGAGTATCTTGTTAAAATGAGGATTCTGATTCAGTAGGACTTAGGCGAGGCCATGATTCTGCACTTCCAAGTTCCATGGTGATGCCCATGCTGCAAGCCCACTCACAACACTTTGAGCTGCAAGGTTAGTGGGAGCCTCTTGACCCAGAAGGACAGCTCCTAGGAAAGCTTACTTTAGCCCTCTGGATATCCAACTCTGCACAGCAGTCAACATCTGCCTAAGCTTGCACACACCTGCCATCTACTTAGATTGTCAGGCCACTCAGATCACCAAGATGGGGCTGTGATCCTCACTTTACAGGTTAGGTAGTGAGCACAAGGCACATAAGCAAGATGAGTGTGGAGGGGCCAGGTCACCTGATCATGGACCAGACAATCCTTGGCACAGCCCATGTGGACCACCTGGAGAGCTCTCCACCATCTGCCAGTGCCTGGTCATGCTTGAGATGCAAAGGGCGTTTCCCAGGAGAAAGGGGGTTTTTAGGGATCGTTGATAGCCCAACTGGATAAAAACCCAGCCCTCTCCACCTAACAATCCTTTATTGTCTTTCGCTTAACAATGCCCACATTTAGGTTTTGTCTACTAAACTTTATTAACTATAATTTGTTTCTCCATTGTTCCTTTATCAGTGGCTTCTATACCTGTCAGCTAGAACTTCTAATAAAAAAGCCACCAGTAGTCATCCTAACTTTACCCCAACTAAAAGCAAAGACTTAAATAAATGGAGTTCTAACACTATGACTCAATAGATAAGCTGCTCTGGGCTAAAACAAGCTCTGCCATCAAACATGCTGGGACCTGGTGGATTCTATGCCCACCACCACTCCACTGACGCACATGGAAGTATTGAGAGTCTGGCTTTGAATATCCCCTTTAACCGAGTTTTCTATGAGTGTCTGACCACAACCCTTTTCTGGAGAACACTTGGGGTCCACAGAACATTGAGGCAATGCTAGAACCAGGTACTTCGGTTGTGTTGTTAGTCAGTGGCTGAGGTACCACATTAGTTTCTCCACTGGCCATTAGGTGTCAGGAGCCACAGGTGGGGAACTCTTGATGGAGAGGTAATGACCAAACAGTGCCTAGGCTGGGGCAAAGGTGGAGGAGGGATAGGAGGAAGCTTTAGCTGGGGTGGCAAGGAAAGACCTCTGAGGAGGTGAGGCCTGCACTCAGCCCTGAATGACAAGAAGCAACAAGCCGTGAGCCGCAGGTCTGGGGGAAGAGCATTCCTGGAAGAGGTGACAAGTGCAGAGGCCCTGAGTTAGGACCAAACTAGGCTTCCTCTGATGCCAAGGCTGTTCCTGGGGCCCGAGGTCAGAGGGCACAGGGCTGGGGAGGACACCTCTGGACAAAGTACCCCAGAGTAGGCTGGGCAAAGCAGCCTTGCTCAGTGTGGGCAGACCATCACTGATTCAGGGGCAAGGCAGACAACTCTGAGACCTCTGTCTTCTCTCCACCTGCAGGGCATCTGAGGAGGCTTTCGTGAAGGAATCCAAGGAGGAAACCCCAGGCACAGAGTGGGAGAAAGTGGCCCAGCTGTGTGATTTCAACCCCAAGAGCAGCAAACAGTGCAAAGACGTGTCCCGCTTGCGTTCTGTGCTCATGTCCCTGAAGCAGACACCGCTGTCCCGCTAGGTGCCTGCCACAAGCATGGCCACAGAGCATGGGCAGGGTTGAAGAAGAGAAGGAGCAGCTGCTTCAGCCAGTGGTTGGAGGGAGGATCCTTCAGCAGCTGCTCCACACAACCTACTCCCTTTCTCCCCATCTCCCGGGACTGTGAAGGGAACCCTGGCCCCTCACCTCATTTTCTCTTGGCCCTAAGTCCCAGCCCCTCACACTGCCTCTAGTCCACAAAATTGTGACTGTTCCTCCTGATGTATTTTTTTTCTTGGCTTAAAGGGTGTGTTGTTAACTCTTTCTACACTTATTCTCATTTCTCTGGAAGCCACAAGTGGTGTCAGGGTTCAGTTTGTGTTTGGAATTTTCCCAGCATGGCCTTGAGAGATGAGACTCTTCACTCAGGAGCTCCCAGCATGAAGTGGGTGTCCCAAGCTGTCTGCTGCCTCCACCCACAGAAAGACAATCTCAAGATGCGTTTGCAACCCTGCTCTTTTCTGTCTTTGAACAATCCTGTGATAGCGATTCTGTTTTTGTCACACAGCCAAAGACACCAAGGCTCCCAGATGATAGTGGCTTGAAGTGAGGGAAGAGGCCACACCAGAGGTTCCAGTGGAGGCTCATCTAAGCCTGGCTGGGAGGCTGGTGAAGGTAGCCCTGGCAGGTCCCCTTCCTTGGGATTGGCCGGGGGCCCTCAGGTGGAGGGCCCACTGCTCTCCCTCCTGCAGATGTGCCCCTCTGTGGATTTGGGATAAAGATCAGTGACCACGCCTTCTTCCTCTTCAGCAGAGGTTGCAAACAGGTTACATAAAAAAATCTTGTGACCTGCACAGTGTTTTAAAAGATTTAGCTGCCAGCCATATTAGTTTCCTAGAGCTGTCATAACAAAGTCTGGCTTAGTATAAGAGATTGTCTCCCTCTTCTGGAGGTCAGAAATCTGAATCCAGGTGTCAGCAGGGCCACGGTCCCTCTGATGGCACTAGGAAGAATATTTCAACTTCTCTTCCAGCTTCTGGCCACCTCAGATGTTCCTTGGCTTGTAGATGCCTCAGTACAATCCTGAGTTCATCTTCACATGGTCTGTCCTCTGTGTGTGTGTGTGTGTGTATGTCATTGTCCAAACCTCCCCTTTTTATAAGGACCCCAGTCATATTGGATTAGGGCCCATCTAATCTCATTTTAATTTAACCACCTCTATAAAGACCCTATTTCCAAATATGGTCACATCTGAGGTACTGGGGTTAGGACTTCAATGTATTTTTTTGGAGGAATACAAAAATGCCTGCATTTATAAAAAAGTGACCATCCCCTTTAGAAGTGCCACATTCCTCACCAATCCATATCTGTTCCTTGAATCTCGAGGCAAAGGGACACCACAATGTATTGCTCTACACTCATAATCTTTGCCTTACGCTGAAAGACCATAGTGTGGGCAATCAACTCAGTTGACCCTGGTCATACACTGCTCCATTTAGAAATCTGGAGCCTTTCAGGGTACTCAAGAAGTGGTTGTGTCTTCTTTACTTTCTCTTTTCCCTTCTGGCAGCCTGAAGCTGGTGTTGAAACTGATGGAGTTACACATAAAAGGAACCTGGATCCAAATCAACACTTTAGAGCTGACCACAGACGAGGAACACCTGTTTTACTTTATTTAATAATTTTTCCATTCAGTTTTTTTTCTTTATTTAGAGAGAGAGAAACATCGATGAGAGAGAACATTGATGGCCGCCTCCTGCATGCCCCCGCACCCCCCCCGGAATTTGGTCCACAACCTGGACATGTGCCTTGACCAGGAATCAAACTGGTGACCTCTTGGTGCATGGGTCGATGCTCAACCATTGAGCCACACCAGCCAGGCAGGAACACCTGGTTGAGAGTGCACATAAAAGCAACAGTCTTGGGTAGCCTCTCTTCTAGAGTTTGTTCAGGTCCCCATTACTTCTTTCTTCCTTAACTCTTAGACACTAGGTACATACTCAGGCTAGGTCAGAGCAATGATGACAGGCTTCGAGACTGTTATCTTTCCACTATACCAGGCTGCTTCTGAGCCTGTTTTCTGTTGCAAGAACCATGCCAGGATGGTCTAAATTAGTGGAGTCTTACGTGTTCTCAGGAAGTGGAGTGAGGAGCAGAAGCACAGTGGAGGGCTGGAACCCTTGCCTCTGACAGGACCATGGCAAGCCTCATCTGAAGGCAGGTTTTTCTTTTTCTACTGCATGTTTGTAAATAGTTGGAAAGTCCCCCCTCCCCCCAACAATATCACTCTAGGGAATCTACTTTCCAACAGATGAAAAGTTTGTGAATCATTAGATCACATGATTTCTAAGGGCCCCTGCAGTCTTTAGTTTATTTCTCCTAAAACCAAAGACCAAAAACTTTGAGAATGAATTCATGACACTACAAGTGGAGTCTTTGGTGTTCTCAGGAGGTGGAGTGAGGGGCAGAAGCACAGTGGAGTGCTGTAACCCCTGCCTCTGACAAGACCACAGCAAGCCTCATCTGAAGGCAGGCTCTTCTACTACAAGTTGGAAAATTGTTGGAAAGCACCCCCTCAACAACCTCCCCCAATATCACTCTAGGGAATCTATTTTCCAGCAGATGGAAAGTTTGTGAATCAAGAGATCATATGATTTCTAAGGGCCCCTTTAGTTTGATTCTCTTAAAACCAAAGACCAAAAACCTTGAGGGTGAGCCCGAGAATGAATTCATGTAACTACAAATGGTTTAGAGTTTATTAAGTAGAGCGTGGATAAAGTGCAGCAGACATAGATGTATGCAACACCCAAATGGAACCGAACCAGAGATTCCTTAAAAAAAAATCTGTCAGTTACTCAATTGGCCATTTCCTCCCCGACTGGCACAGGGGCTTGTCAGGGGAGATGAGGGAATAAGTTCAGTGGCAGGATCGGTGGTTGCTCCTGGGGTGGGAATGATCTCCGGGGAGCTTTCAAGGTCAGGCTGTGGGCTCAGGGTCTAGACTTCAGAGCGGATACTGCCAGACCCACCAAGATGGCTGCGACCGTGAAGCCCTGGGCGGCGATCCGGGTGCGCATCATGAGCTGGGAACGCTGGCTCTGACCCCGGTGGAAGCAGTAGAGGCCATAGGTAAGGGCGGCCGCCGTGCCCAGGCAGCCTGAGGAGGGTAGAAAGCGGGTGGGGTGGCAAATCCAGAAGCCCCTCCTCGCTTTGGAGCTTCTTTCGCCTGAGTCGAGATCTCAGAAAAGGAGCGAGTCTGGGGTTAAGAGGGGTTGGTCCGGGCAGGGTCCTCGGAGTTACAGAGTCCGCCCCATCCACCACCAAATCCCGCTCGGCTCCTGCTCCAATGTGGTTCATCCCTCACTGCCCCGCCTCTTCGCCACAGCTCTGGTCATTCTCATTCCGGTGTCCCCATGGCGTCCCCGGTCCTTCCCTATTTCGTTCCCTCCCGAAAGCACTGTCTTCTCCCTCTACAGTTCCTTCAATACCCGCTTACCTATGGGTACCATTGGGTTCTCGCGAGTCTTGCGAAGGAACTTTTCCTTGAAGCTTTCCGGATTGCCGTAGACACTGGGGCTAAAACCTTCAATGACTGGGGGCTGCGACGGTGCCTCTGGAGTGACAGGGCCTGGAGTCGTCATGTCTGGGGCAACAGCAGCCGGAGAAAATGGGGACACTAAACTCCACCTCCTGGTGAGGTCATGAAAGGGGGCGGAGAAAAGGACATTATTGAGCGTTGTACGCAGGCGCATCCGTTCATCGCGTCCTGGGAGTCGTAGTAGTTGGCGTGGTATCGCGACGTTTCCGAAAAAGTCCGCCAAGTCCTGCGAGTGCCGGAGGGAAGGAGTCCGCTTCACCAGGTGCTGGGAGTGCAGGCGCGGAGTCCGAGTTGCGGCTGCGGTGGTCCGCGGGATGCCCGAGGCCAAGGAGAAGACCCGCAGGCAGAAGTTCGGTTACAATGTTAACCGGCACCGTCTTAGCCGGAATGCTCTAGATGGAAGGCAGCGCCACGGATCGAGTGGTGAGCAGCCTGTGTTCAGAAGCAAGGGGCCTGGCCGGACGGCCAACGAGATGACGGTTCCGCCATCTGCTGGTAGCTCCTTCTTCCGAGATTCCTGAAACCATGCCGAATCCGTGTGGCAGAACCTGGCCGACATGGGATTGGCCACGGACCTCAACAAGGCATTGCCCCTCGGTAAGAGAAAGGTACTGACTTGACAGGGTCCCGGCCCTTGCCCTGTCTCCTCCGCCAAACCTTTCTCACGCATTTCCTGGGTTTGCGATCTCCCACAGCCAACTCGTCCAGCCTACACTGACTGTGGTTGAGGGTCCGGTTTAGAATTACCTCCACAGCACAAATTGGACCTAGGTTGGAGTTCCCCTTTCTTTCTCTCCTCCGAACCGCGGCCGACGCTCTAACCGCTGAGCCAAACTGGCCAGGGCCCCTTTCTTTCTCCATTCATTTTTTTTTTTCTTCCGAAATTAACCTGTTTGGGTCCCTTTGCTTCTTTTTTTTGTTTGTTAATCCTCACCCGAGGATATTTTTTTCTATTAATTTTTAGAGAGAGTGGAAAGGAGGGAGGGAGGCAGGAAGAGAAAGAGGGAAAGAGAGAAACAGCCATTGGTTGCCTCCTACATGCGCCCAACTAGGGCGGGGATCAACTTGCAACCCAGGTACTGGGCCATTCACCTGGAATCGAACCCCAGGGGCTTCCGTGGGTGGGCCGACGCTCTAACCACTGAGCAACACCAGTCAGGGTCCCTTGGAATCTTAATGGTATTTCCCAGAATTTTCTTTTTCTGTCCTTACCTTTCTTCATAAAGACTCCCCAGAGTTTGGGATCTTGACTTGCTTTTTACACCTCTTTCCAGATTCAGTTGTCCTTGGTCTAAGCTTCCCTGGGGTTAGTTTCTCCCCAGTATGTCTTTTTCTGGACACCCCTTTCAAAAATAGCACCCTTGCCCTGGCCGGTTTGCTCAGCGGTTAGAGCGTTGGCCTGCGGTCTGGAGAAACCCGGGTTCGGTTCCGCTAAGGGCACTACCTCTGTTGCAGTTTGTCCCCGGTCCTGGTTGGGTCGTGTGGGTGGCAACCACTGGATGTGTCCCTTTCACGTAGATGTTTCTCTCTCTCTCACTCCCTCCCACTCTATCTGAGCAAAATTTCGAAAAATGTCCTCGGGTGAGGAAAAAAAAAAAGCACCCTTTCCCACCCAGCTAATTCTTCCTGGTTTTAACTCATAGCACTTGTAAATACTTGATGGTTTATTATGTATTTATGTATCTGTTGATTGTCTGTGCCTCTTACCTCCAACATAATCTCCTTGGTGATAAGGACTTTGTGTTTTGTTCACTACTAAATCTCCAGTGGTGCTTAGGATGTGACTAGTGCTCAATAAACAGTTAACCCACCGAGTGGGCTTGCCTTTTAGGCAAGTTTCTTTTAATTTCTTATTTATTGATTTGAGAGAGAAAGAGAGAGAGATTTGTTGTTCCACTTATTTATGCATTCATTGGTTGATTCTTGTATGTGCACTGACTGGGAATTGAAACTACAACCTTGGTGCGTTGGGACTGCGCTCTAACCAACTGAGCTACCTGGTTAGAACTAGGTGAGTTTCTGGGTTTTTTTTGTAATCCTCACCTAAGGGTATTTTTCTATGTATCTTCAGATAGAGTGTGAGAGAAAGAGAGAGAAACATTGATGTGAAAGAGACACATCGACTGGCTGCCTCCTGCACCACCCCGAACAGGGCCCAACCAATGTCTGTGCCCTTGCCGGAATCAAACCCACACTTACTGGTCCACTGGCTGATGCTCTAACTGTTGAGCCAAACTGGCCAGGGCTAGGCAAGTTTCTTTTTATCCCTTCATGCCAGAGGAAAAAGGCAATACTGTTTCTAGAACAAATGTGAAGCTGCACCCAAGCACTGTCAGGTTGCTTCTTCTCATAGAGAAGGTATCTGACGTCTCTCCCTCACTGTAAATTATAAAGCACTTCCATGTGCATTGTTTCATTTGAAGTGAGGCACACAGGGGGAATTATGCCAATTTCATAAATAGGTACAGAAAGAAGAATTGCTTTCTTGAATCTCTTGAGAACCATGAATCCTCCAGGGCATAGGTTCTCTTTGTCAGCTATTCTTGCCTGACCTTGTATATGGATCTGTATGGGTCAAGTAATCGTATAGAGAAAGTCAGGAGCCTCTAGAATTTTCATGTGTCCAGGATCCTTCCCTTTTCTACCGGTCTCACTGGCTCTGCTCTCTGCAGGTGAAGGCCATGGAGGTGGAGCCTCAGGAACTCATGTGGAAACCCTAGGTGCTAAATGGTGGGTGCTGGCCACATTCCTCTAGGTCACCATCCTGTATAGTTAGAACTGGAAAGGGTCCTTGGGTGCTTTATTTTACAGGTGGAAAAACCAGAGTTCAGAGGGAAGAAGTGAGCTGGTCCAGGGTTCAGAGTCTGGGGACTATGTCCCTGGCTGGGACATTTTTGGTCCACCGACTAAACTCAAGTATGTGAAGTGAGGTCAGAGAAGTTTAGGTCCCTAAGAGGATAGAAAATAAATCATTAAGTCTTAGGCATGCATTTCAGCTTCTCATGAATTTAAGAATGAACAAATTTTTGCCCTGGCCGGTTTGGCTCAGCTGTTAGAGTGTCGGCCTGCGGTCCAGAGAGACCCGGGTTCGGTTCCCGCTAAGGGCACGTGCCTCGGTTGCAGTTTGTCTCCGGCCCTGGTTGGTCGTGCGGGTGGCAGCCACTCCATGTGTCCCTTTCACGTCGGTGTTTCTCTCTCTCTCTCTCTCTCTCTTCCTCTCTCTCCCTCTCACTCTATCTGAACAAAAATGGAAGAATGTCCTTGGGAGAGGATAAAAAAAAAAAGAATGAACATATATATTTTTTAATTTAATTAATGTATGTGTTTTTAATAAATTCTTTATTGATTTTAGAGAGAGAGGAAGGAAGAGGGAGAGAGAAATAGAAACATTGATGAGAGAGAACATCAATTGGTTGCCTCCTTCATGCCCTACACTGGGGATCGGGCCCATAACCCAGGCATGTGCCCTGACCGGGAATCGAACTGGCAACCTCCTGGTACATGGGTCGATACTCAACCAGTGAGCCACACTGGCTAGGCAAGGATGAACAGATTTTTAGAGATTCCACCATCTCATTTAATCTTCGCAATGACAAATCAAAATCATGTATCCTAAGGCTACAGAGACTGAATAATAAAACAGAAGAGAGTAAATTCTGCAGAAAAACGGGAATACTCTAGAATTCTCCATCCATCCTTCTTTTTTTTTTTTATCCTCACCCGAGGACATTTTTCCATTTTTTGTTCAGATAGAGCGGGAGGGAGAGAGAGGAAGAGAGAGAGAGAAACATCGATGTGTAGGGACACATCGAGTGGCTGCCACCCGCACGACCAACCAGGGCCGGGGACAAACTGCAACCGAGGTACGTGCCCTTAGCGGGAACCGAACCCGGGTCTCTCTGTACCGCAGGCCGACGCTCCAACCACTGAGCCAAACCGGCCAGGGCCCATCCTTCTTCTTATTGGTCTGAGATTTTTAACAGTTCTGAATGTAACAAGATTGAATAGCCAGACATTTGATATAGGATTCTTCGAGTTTCTGTCTTAAGTGTACCTCAATGAATCTCATAAGAATTACAGCACTGAATTTCATATACAAAATCATGTACTTATTGTAGTCAAAGCTAATTTTGAAAAGTTTTACTTTTATTTTTTTGTTAATTCTCACCTGACGGTATCCCCATCGATTTTTAGATAGAATGGAAGGGAGGAGAGAGAGAGAGAGAGAGAGAGAGAGAAAGAGAGAGAAACATCGATGTGAGAGAGACATGAATTGGCTGCCTCCAGCATGACCCCTGACCAGGGCCGGGTATCAAACCTGCAACCCAGGTACATGCCCTTGACCAGGAATCAAACCCAAGACCCTTTGGTGCGCGTGCCAACGCTCTAATCACTGAGCAACACCAGCCAGGGCAGGGGTTTATTTATTTATTTTACCCTCACCCAAGGTCATTTTTCCATTTTTCAGAAAGAGTGGGAGGGAGAGAGAGAGAGAAACATCGACGTGAAAGGGACACATCCAGTGGCTGCCACTCACACTACCAACCATGGCCGGGGACAAACTGCAACCGAGATACATGCCCTTAGCGGGAACCGAACCTGGGTCTCTCTGGACCTCAGGCTGACGCTCTAACCACTGAACAAACTGCCAGGGCCAGGGGCTTACTTTTAATTCTTAATTTAAAACATCTAAAATTCTATATCCAGCTGGTGTGGCTCAGTGGATTGAGCATCCTCCCATGGACTGAGAGGTCCCAGTTTGATTCCCGTTCAGGGCACATGCCCGGGTTGTGAGCTCAATCCCCAGTGTGGGAGCGTGCAGGAAGCAGCCGATGGATGTTTTTCTCTCTCATGAAGGTTTCTATCTCTCCCTTCCTCTCTCTCTAAAAAATCAATAAAGTGTGTTTTTTCCCCACCAATCTTAAATTTAAGAACTATTTAAAAAAAAAAAATAAATATATAAAAAATCTAAAATCAATAAAAACATATTTAAAAAAAAATTGTGATAAAAGCCCTGCCAGTGTGGCTCAGTGGTTGAGCATTGACCTATGCACCAAGAGTTTGCTGGTTTGATTCCCAGTCAGGGCATATGCCCAGGTTGTGAGCCAAATCCCCAGTGGCAGGCATGTGGGAGGCAGCTAATCGATGTTCTCTCTCATTGGTGTTTCTGCCTCTCTCTCCCTAAAATCAATAAAGAAAAAAAATTGCCCTGGCTGGTTTGGCCCAGCGGTAGAGCATCTGCTCTCGGACCAATGAGTCGAGGGTTCAATTTGGGTCAAGGGCATATATCTCGGTTGCAGTTCGTCCTGGCCCTGGTTGGGGTTGTGAGGGAGGCCACCAGTCACTGTGTCCCTCTCATGTCAATGTTTGTTTGTTTTTTATCCTCACCCGAGGACATTTTTCCATTTTTTGCCCAGGTAGACTGGGAGGGAGAGAGAGGAACAGAGAGAGAGAGAGAGAGAGAGAGAGACATCGACGTGAAAGGAACACATCGAGTGGCTGCCACCCGCACGACCGACCAGGGCCGGGGACAAACTGCAACCAAGGTACGTGCCCTTAGCGGGAACCGAACCCGGGTCTCTCTGGACCGCAGGCCGACGCTCTAACCGCTGAGCCAGACCGGCCAGGGCTCACGTCAATGTTTTTTTCTGTCTCCCTTTCCCCCCGACTCTGTCTGAAGATAAATAGAAAAATATTCTTGGGTGAGAATTAAAAAAAAAATTTTTTTTCTTTCTTCATTGATTTTAGGGAGAAAGAGGAAGGGAGATGGAAAGAGATAGAAACATAGATTGTTCACCTCCTACATGTCCCCTACTGGGGATTTGGCCCACAACCTGGACATGTGCCCTGACCAGGAATAGAACCGGCAACCTGTGGGTGCATAGGTTGATGCTCAACCACTGAGCCACACTGGCTGGATTTTAAAATCTAAAGCTCAGTAGTGTTAAGTATACTGTATTCACATTGTCATGTAGCACATCTCCAGAACTTTTTCATCTTCAGAACTGAAACTATCCCCATTAAACAACATTTCTCTATATCCTCTCCCTACCCAAATCCTAGCCAAAGATAATTTTAATTATAGCAATTTTAGCAGTTAACCCCTGGAAAATATTTGATCACCTCATTCCCCTGAACTATTTTTCTTCTTTCATAAATAAGAAATAGGGAGTTATTGCTTAGCTATTTTATTTTATTAAAAAAATTTTTTTCTTTTATTGATTTTAGAGAGAGAGGAAGGGAGAGGGAGAGAGATAGAAACATCGATGAGAGAGAACATCGATTGGCTTCCTCCTGCATGCCCCCCACTAGGGATTGGGCCCACAACCTGGGCATGTGCCCTAACTGGGAATTGAACTGGTGACCTCTTGGTGCATGGGTCAGTGCCCAACCACTGAGCCACACTGGCCGGGCTTGCCTAGCTATTTTAAAAGTGAACCCATGACCTGGCTGGTTTGGTTCAGTGGTTAGAGTGTCGGCTTGCGGTCCAGAGAGACCCGGGTTTGGTTCTCGCTAAGGGTATGTATCTCGGTTGCAGTTTGTTCCCGGCCCTGGTTGGTCATGCTGGTGGCAGCCACTCGATGTGTGCCTTTCATGTGGATGTTTCTCTCTCTCTCTTCCTTTCTCTCCCTTCCACTCTATCTTAACAAAAAATGTCCTTGGATGAGGATAAAAAATGAATAAATAAATAAAAGTGAACCCATTATTGGCTCCACAGCTCGGCTATTTTGCATTATAAGAAGCGGAGAGGTACTTGGGCCTAGCCTTAGGCCCTAGTTGCTACAGCTTTAGTTCTCATTTATTCAGACCTTTCTATTTTATTTATTGTAACACTTCAAGAAAAGAGGTTCTCAGATTTTTTAGAGCTGGAAGGGAACCCTGTCCTGTGGGCAGGCAATGTGTCTTCATCTCTGTCTTCAGAATCTGACACTAAGTAAAGATTATTAGTTTGGTGTCTGTTTTTACCCCAGAGAAATGACTTGCCTTTCAGGTAGTTGCCACACTGATAGATGATTGTTTAATAGGCAGAGCCTGGGATCTGAGGGCTGAAGAAGAAAGGGGTAATTCTAGCACTGCATATGGGGATGGAGAGGCAAAGTTTATTAGATGGCTGGTGTAGCAACTGTGTGGCTTGGGATTGGGCGAAGGGGTGACTGGGCAACTCAAATAGTGCAGAAAGCAACACCCCATTCCCTGTGTCCTGGCTTCTCTCACCCCAGACCTGGAGGCAGAAACCAGCCTCCCAGAAAGGAAAGGAAATACTCTGTCTCAGGACCTCACAGACTACATATGCTACATGGTGGAGAACCTTGGGGAGGACTAAAAGGTGAGTGGCTTAGTCCTGGCAGGAAGAACCACTTAGGCTCATTGGAAAGGCACCTTGGACAGTTCGTGATTTGATCTGCTTGCTTAGTGCCTATTTCCTAAACTGAGTGGCAACAAAGAGAAGAAAGACTCTAGGAAGTAGATCCCACTGATAATGCTTATAACTGGGATAGACTGAGTGTTCTTGTCTTGACAGATATGTTCTTGTGCTTGCATGTTTGTTTTCTAATTTTATTTATTGATTTTAGAGAGGAAGGAAGAGGGAGAGAGAGAGAAAAACATCCATGTGAGCGTGAAACATTGATTGGCTGCCACCTGCATGTCCCCCACCAGGGATCAAACCTGCAACCCAGGCATGTGCTGTGACCCAGAATTGAACACTGGCAGCTTCTCAGTGCAGTGGATGGTGCTGAACCAACTGAGCCACACCAGCCAGGGCTGCATGTTGTTTTTGTTGTTCTTCTTAATCCTCACCTGAGGATATTTTTTCATTGATTTGGCGGGGGTGGGGTGGGGGGGGGGGGCCTCGATGTGAGAGAGACACATTGATTGGTTGCCTCACACATGCACTACAACTGGGGCCAAGGATTGACCTGCAACTCAGGTGCCTGCCCTTGACAGGGCACTAAACCCTCGACTCTTCAGTGTGCAGGCTAAGTCTCTAAACACTGAGCCACCCTGGCCACGGTGGGCTGCATGTTTTTTGTTTTTGTTTTTAATTTTTAAAAATTCATTTTTAGAGAGAGAAACATTGATGTGAGAGCGAAACATTGATTGGCTGCTTCCTGCATGCCCCCTACTGGGGATCAATCCCACAACTCAGATATGTACCTGACTGAATTGAACTGGCAACCTTTCTGTGTATGGGATCGTGCCCAACCAACTAAGCCACACTGGCTAAAGCACATGGTATTTTGAAAGAATTTGAACTAGTTGCCATTTTAATTATGGGAGGTTTCAAATAAAAGTCTTTATTTTTAGCTTCTGTTAAAAATGGAAAGATCTGGTTACTCTGGACCTCTGTGCCTAGTTGGGATTAGTTGGCTATGGATGCAGCATGAGCTGCTCAGCTGGCCCTGGAGAGAATCTGTACCCATTTCTCCATATACACTTTGGCTTTGAAGTGATGAACCTGAACCTCTGGGATAGAAAGTGGCTTGCCCACCTCTGGCAGAAATGGAATTTGAACCAACTTTGCCTGTACAGCCCTCAAGTGGCCCTTCTCTCTTCTTTAAAAAATATTTTTTTTCTTTATTGATTTTTAGAGAGAGAAGAAGGGAGAGGGAGAGGGAGACAGGAACATCGATGAGAGAGAACATTGTTTGGTTGCCTCCTGCATGCCCTCCACTGGGGATTTGGCCCACAACCTGGGCATGTGCCCTGACTGGGAATCGAACCAGTGACCTCTTGGTGTATGAGTTGATGCTCAACCACTGAGCCACATCAGCTGGACCCTTCTCTCTTCTTAGGCCGTGGCCCAGGCTGAGAAGAATTACTATCGAGATACCCCCAACATTTGGAATAAGATCGATGTCTATAAGCGTTTTTATCCAGCCTAGTGGCAAGCCTTCACTGATTCTTTGCAGAACAATAGAATAGAGGTTGAGTGACTGGTTTACACTTGCCCCAGGCTGAGGCTTCTTCCTGGACCTGAGAATTGGAGCCAGGGTTTAAGGCAAGGAGGGGTGTGTTGCTGCAAATGAACTGTAAAACCCTCATGGAATCAAAAGGTTTTTCTTTCTCCCTTCCCTCCCTGGGGGAGGAACTGTCTCCCAGAGGCTTCAATTTATATTCTTCTGGGGGCTCCAGGAAAAGCCAGAACCTGCTGGTTTCAGAGTTTGTTTGAATATATTGTTCATATAATAAAACAAAGCTATTTTACTTCTCTGATGGGTTTCTATTTGCCATTCCCAGCTAAGCGCTAGGGCCACCGCTGCGAGAACCAACTCAACAGGGACAGGGAAGCCATCCAGCCTTTGTGAAATTCACTGTGCCTTCCTAGGCGCAGCCTCCCACCTCTTCTCTGTCCTGGTTCCATTCCTCTGTCTCGGTTTCCTACACTGCAGTTCCATGAACACTTCTATAGAAACCTGCCAGGAACACTGGGCTACTTCAAAGGGACTGCCTTGCCAATACTAACCCCACCTCTAGGCTGGGAGCTGTTGGACTAGTTCTCTAGGGTTCTAGCCTGAGGCCACCTCTGGCTTAGTTGCCAGAGGGTAAGGAACTTCTGTGGCTGCCTCCTGGTTTGCCTCCTGCCAGCTTTTGATACTCATCTTAAGGTTGCTTGAGTTGAACTTGGCCCCAAGGGAACCTGAGGTCCCCAAATATGCTTTTGAGACTGGCAGGCTGCCAGATACCACCCTACTATGTGCCAAGCTCTGGGCTACACTGCATGGCCATTCTCGGGTGTGGGGGTGGCACTGGGCATTTTCTTAGTCTTGATAGTTTTTCCCCAGCTGTTAATAAAACAAAAATCCTCTTATTCCTAAGATTTTTTTTTTTCTAGAAGTACCTAAAATGTCTCTTACTGCTCTTGGAAAGAGTGGCTTAGTATTTTTACATAGATCATTTTTACATGATCTAGTGGTGTGTAGTTTTATCTTCATCCTACACATAAGAAACAGGCTTGAGAGATGTTAATGGGGAGTTTGAAATCAGGTCTTTCCAACAACTAAGCCTAGGTTTTCCCTTGATGTCCTTCCTGTTGGCTCCTGAAGGCAACCCATCTATCTGACACCATTGGATAGGCTGGAAACTAATAGGACAGGAGTATCCAGAAAGCTCTCCCCTTTTTGACCAGCCTGCATAGACTTCAGCACTGACTGGCCACGAAGCACTGCCAGCACAGCCTTCAGGATGTAGTCTGCAGTAGAGCTCCCAAGGGCCTTTGTTATTTGGCCTTGTAACTTTTCTCCTTCATAGCTTTCCAAATTCAGGCCTTTGACTAGGCTGGCCCCTCACCTGGTTTCTTTACCCAGTTTAGGTGCTAGTTTTAGGAAGCTTTCCCTACCACATCCCCTGCCCCCAGGCTGTGTAAGTGTTCTGTAGTCCCAACGCTGTAGACTACCTGTTAACAAAACCTGTCACAGTCATAACTGCCTTTTAATCTGCTTCATATTTTGTACCAGACTGAGTGCAAGGAGCTTGCCTAGAAATCCTCAGAGCCTGGTCAAGGCAGATGCTAGGAAAATGCTTGTGGAAAGACTGACTACATGGCCCTTTGGGCAGACCAGACAGAGTTGTGAGATATTTATCAGCACCTCTTTGTGGAGGACTTGAAGGCCATGACTGACTAACTTCATTCCCCCCCACCCCCTGAGTCCTTACAGTTGGTTCCACTGCATCAGCAAAAGCTGGTTTTGTTGGTTTGATTCCAACCAAAAGCAAAGGCTCAATGGAGCAATTCCAGTGCTGTGGCTTTATAGAAATGACAGCCATCCTGGGCTGAAACAAGCTCTGCCATCAAACATGCTGGGACCTGGTGGATTCTATGCCCACCACCACTCCACTGACGCACATGGAAGTATTGAGAGTCTGGCTTTGAATATCCCCTTTAACCGAGTTTTCTATGAGTGTCTGACCACAACCTTTTTCTGGAGAACACTTGGGGTCCACAGAACATTGAGGCAATGCTAGAACCAGGTACTTCGGTTGTGTTGTTAGTCAGTGGCTGAGGTACCACATTAGTTTCTCCACTGGCCATTAGGTGTCAGGAGCCACAGGTGGGGAACTCTTGATGGAGAGGTAATGACCAAACAGTGCCTAGGCTGGGGCAAAGGTGGAGGAGGGATAGGAGGAAGCTTTAGCTGGGGTGGCAAGGAAAGACCTCTGAGGAGGTGAGGCCTGCACTCAGCCCTGAATGACAAGAAGCAACAAGCCGTGAGCCGCAGGTCTGGGGGAAGAGCATTCCTGGAAGAGGTGACAAGTGCAGAGGCCCTGAGTTAGGACCAAACTAGGCTTCCTCTGATGCCAAGGCTGTTCCTGGGGCCCGAGGTCAGAGGGCACAGGGCTGGGGAGGACACCTCTGGACAAAGTACCCCAGAGTAGGCTGGGCAAAGCAGCCTTGCTCAGTGTGGGCAGACCATCACTGATTCAGGGGCAAGGCAGACAACTCTGAGACCTCTGTCTTCTCTCCACCTGCAGGGCATCTGAGGAGGCTTTCGTGAAGGAATCCAAGGAGGAAACCCCAGGCACAGAGTGGGAGAAAGTGGCCCAGCTGTGTGATTTCAACCCCAAGAGCAGCAAGCAGTGCAAAGACGTGTCCCGCTTGCATTCTGTGCTCATGTCCCTGAAGCAGACACCGCTGTCCCGCTAGGTGCCTGCCACAAGCATGGCCACAGAGCATGGGCAGGGTTGAAGAAGAGAAGGAGCAGCTGCTTCAGCCAGTGGTTGGAGGGAGGATCCTTCAGCAGCTGCTCCACACAACCTACTCCCTTTCTCCCCATCTCCCGGGACTGTGAAGGGAACCCTGGCCCCTCACCTCATTTTCTCTTGGCCCTAAGTCCCAGCCCCTCACACTGCCTCTAGTCCACAAAATTGTGACTGTTCCTCCTGATGTATTTTTTTTCTTGGCTTAAAGGGTGTGTTGTTAACTCTTTCTACACTTATTCTCATTTCTCTGGAAGCCACAAGTGGTGTCAGGGTTCAGTTTGTGTTTGGAATTTTCCCAGCATGGCCTTGAGAGATGAGACTCTTCACTCAGGAGCTCCCAGCATGAAGTGGGTGTCCCAAGCTGTCTGCTGCCTCCACCCACAGAAAGACAATCTCAAGATGCGTTTGCAACCCTGCTCTTTTCTGTCTTTGAACAATCCTGTGATAGCGATTCTGTTTTTGTCACACAGCCAAAGACACCAAGGCTCCCAGATGATAGTGGCTTGAAGTGAGGGAAGAGGCCACACCAGAGGTTCCAGTGGAGGCTCATCTAAGCCTGGCTGGGAGGCTGGTGAAGGTAGCCCTGGCAGGTCCCCTTCCTTGGGATTGGCCGGGGGCCCTCAGGTGGAGGGCCCACTGCTCTCCCTCCTGCAGATGTGCCCCTCTGTGGATTTGGGATAAAGATCGGTGACCACGCCTTCTTCCTCTTCAGCAGAGGTTGCAAACAGGTTACATAAAAAAATCTTGTGACCTGCACAGTGTTTTAAAAGATTTAGCTGCCAGCCATATTAGTTTCCTAGAGCTGTCATAACAAAGTCTGGCTTAGTATAAGAGATTGTCTCCCTCTTCTGGAGGTCAGAAATCTGAATCCAGGTGTCAGCAGGGCCACGGTCCCTCTGATGGCACTAGGAAGAATGTTTCAGCTTCTCTTCCAGCTTCTGGCCACCTCAGATGTTCCTTGGCTTGTAGATGCCTCAGTACAATCCTGAGTTCATCTTCACATGGCCTGTCCTGTGTGTGTGTGTGTGTGTGTGTGTGTGTGTGTGTGTGTATCATTGTCCAAACCTCCCCTTTTTAATTTTTTTATTTTTTTATCCTTACCCGAGGACATTTTTTCATTTATCTTGAGAGAGAGCAGGAGGGAGAGAACGAGGAAGAGAGAGAGAAACATTGATGTGAGACACGTCAAGTGGTCGCCACCCATATGACCCCAACTGGGGCCAGGGACAAACTGAAACAGAGGTATGTCCCCTTAGCGGGAACCGAACCCAGGCCTCTCTGGGTTGATGCTCTAACCACTAAGCAACCGGCCAGGGCCAAACCTCCCTTTTTTATAAGGACACCAGTCATATTGGATTAGGGCCCGCCTTAATCTCAATTTATAAAGACCCTTTTTCCAAATAAGGTCACATCTGAGCTACTGGGGTTACTTAAACATAGCTCTTTAGGTAGCACAGTAATGCCAACAGTTAAAAAATAGTGATCGGGGCTTCCAGTGAAGGTGGCATAGGTAAATGCAGAAGTTGTTTCTTCCCACAACCACATCAAAATTAAAACTAAACTATAGAACAACTGTCGTTCAGAACCACCTGACATCTGGCTGAATGGAAGTACTACAAGTAGGGGATTAAAGAAGAAACCATAGCCCTGGCTGGTTGCTCAGTGGTTAGAGTGTCGGCCCGTGGGCTAGAGAGACCAGGGTTTGGTTCCCTCTTAAGGGCATGTGCCTTGGTTGCAGTTTGTCCCTGGCCCTGGTTGGGGTTGTGCTGGAGGCAACCACTCGATGTGTCCTTTTCACATCGATGTTTCTCTCTTCCTCTCCCTCCCACTCTATCTGAACAAAAATGAAAAAATGTCCTCAGGTGAGGATGAAAAAAAAAAGAAGCAGCCATAATGAGACTGGGGGAGTGGCAGAGGCTGGGACTGGCTGGTCCCACACCCATGTGTGGCTGCTTTTAATTGCGAGTAATATGTTGGCTGGGGTGGTCACCCCTGAGGAGTGATATGTCCCAGCCCCACACCAGACCCTTCAGCCCAATGTTCCAGTGCTGAAGAGACGTCCTCTTAGCTTAGGGCTGTAAAAACCAGTGGTGGTTGTGGCTGAAAAAGACAGAGGCTCCTGGAGTCCCAGGCAGTTCCTATTTGTTTATTTTTAAATTTTACTGTACATGCATTTCTTCTCTTTCTTAGAATCCTTACAAGAGGATATTTTTCCATTGATTTTTAGATAGAATGGAAGGGAGGGAGGGGGGAGAGAGAAACATTGATGTGAGAGAGACACATAGATTGGTTACGTCCCGTATGACCCCAACCAGGGCCAGCGATGGAACCTACAACCCAGGTACATGCTCTTGACTGGTATTTAAACCGGAGACCTATCAGGTCCACAGACTTATGCTCTAACCACTGAGCAAAACCAATCAGGGCTCAGGCAGTTCTATTTTTATTCCTCACCCGATAATATTTTTCTAC